CTATTACTGAAAATAGCCAAGTGAGAAAAGGGGCCGTGAAGGTCAGACTAAATCGACCTGTTGCACCATTGAGTATATCGAATGCTCCTACGTTGCAATTGGCCCAATGGATGTGATTTTCCAATATTATTATGCGTTCAAACTTTTAAGGTATTTCGTCTGAAATAAGTATATGTATATTGCATTTCTGTAGAACACTGATTCGCACCCATTTTGAAATTGCCACCTACTTTACTGTAAAGCTGGGGATCTAATGGGGGGAGTGAAGTGAATTTATAACCTATCCTTCCCAAACGACAACCTCACCCACTGCCCGTCAAGGCTTGGTGATGATTTTCCAATATTATTATGCGTTCAAACTTTTAAGGTATTTCGTCTGAAATAAGTATATGTATATTGCATTTCTGTAGAACAATGATTCGCACCCATTTTGAAATTGCCACCTACTATACTGTAAAGCTGGGGATCTAATGGGGGAGTGAAGTGAATCTATAACCTATCCTTCCCAAACGACAACCTCACCCACTGCCCGTCAAGGCTTGGTGACCGTGGTGGCTGTCGACCGGTGCGAGGCGGTATATCCTCGCTCAAGGCTGAGCTCCCGTAGTGAGGACTGGACCCGGACTGTACGTGACTTGCATTGACGAACGCTCAGGACAACCAGAACGCTCAGGATGACGGGTGGACCACTACGTACGGGACCCCAATCTTCGCGTTTGAAAACGCACCGACAAATCCAGAAGCTTCTGTTCCCCAGTGGGGCGGCTCCCTGGTCTGCGTCTGACCCATAGTGGGCGGCAGGACACCTTCACCTGGCAGTAGGTATAAAATGCAAAAATCCCCGGAGACCCTATCGTTGGAGTGGTGACAACAGGCCCCAGCGATCGAAATGCTACTGTTGACCCTATCATCCAGGTGTTTGCCCCGGGCTTGGATGATAGGCGAGCTACTGAGGCAAAAACATTGGCAAGGCAACAGAGGTGCCAATCCGAAAGTGGCGAGTCGGGCTCCCAGGATCTTCGAATCCACTCACTGCTAGACTCCTCAGATGAGGAGGATCGCGACTGGCCGGATTCCCTTGCACTGAGCCAGCTCAGTCTGGGGTCCGATGATTCTGGAAGACCGGTTGCAACCGAAGGAGTTAAGGAGCCTCAAGGCAATGCCAATCCCGACAAGGAGAAGCACAAAGAGCGGAAGAGAAAGATGGGGTATAAAAGCTCTCGTCGATTCCTCGCGAAACTGCGAGAGCGCGACCCCGCCACTCTAACGCCAAGGGACAAGGCTCTTTAAAAGAAGCATGCCTACATTGTCCGGAAGTATGAGCGACTCCGTGAGGAGAAAGTCTCGAGTGCTTCCGGAAGTGAGGCCGCTGTCTCTGGGAAAGCCACAAACTCCGATAAAAGGGACGCTGCAACCAAACCCCCCTTTGAGGGCGGTAGCAGTCTGCCGACGAAGAAAGCTGCTCCCCTGTCCGCTGTTGGAAACAACGAGCCGTCGCAATCACTGACGCCCAAGGTGTCGAAGACCGCGAGGCCAGTGTTCCCATGGCTGGACGGGAAGAAGGTCGACGTCGGCAGCTGCTATTGCCTCCGGTGGTAGGGGACCGGTTGCACGCACTCCGAAGAGACAACTGTCTGGCGACAAGAAGATACAGCCTGAGCAGAAGCGGGTGAAAACTTCGTCAACCTTATGCTCAGCACCAGAGCTCCAGGTAGCAATCATAGACCGGAATCACCCGGAAGGAAAGATTCCGATGGACAAATGGTTGCCCCTGGAGGAAAAGATCATGAGGGCACTACTTGGCGAAATCCAGCGTACCAAAAACAACAACATTGGTATGTTTGATGGAGCCAAGTGGCAGAAGGGAGTCAAAGTTGTTGGATGCGGTAACAAGGAGTCGTTAGACTTCCTAACAAACTGCGTCCGCAACCAAGATGAACTTTGGGCCAACGCACGACTAGAAGTTGTTCCGCTCTCAGAGGTGCCATCCCGTACGACAGTGCGAGTGTGGATCCCGCCCCCTCTCGTGGAGGACAAGACCTCACTAGCCCTAATCAATTGTCAGAACGTGGATGTGTTCCCTGACGACTGGACGATTGTCCGAGGCCGCGCTCGCGACAAGGGTAACGACAAGGACCTTTGGATCAAGATCGGTCCACAATCCTTGCAGATCCTTCGTCGCAAAGCCGGCCAAATAAGATATGGCATCGGTCACCTCAGGGTGATCATCCCCGATGCTGAAAGAGAATCCGAAAAGCCTAAAGGTGGTGCAGATTAATCTGCAGCACTGCAGGGCAGCATCGGAAGATGTGGACGTGGTCCTAATACAAGAACCCTGGATAGTGGCGGGGAGGGTCACAGGTCTATCCATCCACTAGCGACTTTCTACTTCTCACCCCACAGCCCGAAGGTAAAATTAGAACTTGTATTCTGATTAAGAAAAGCACTAATATTCTCTTTCTTCCCCAATTTAGCGATTCGGACATGACAGTGGCAATGTTCCAACGCTCGCCACACGGCGTGGAGCAGCTCGAACACCAACGATAGAGGTGAGTCACTCTTTAGTTACTTATTATCCACAAAACTTACTATCTGTAATAAGGGTAATCACCCCACTTTCTACAATAGAATAAGGGAGGAGGTTATAGTTATAACTCTTGTAACTAACTCGAACAATGTTAGGGTCGACGGCTGGCACGTCTCGACAAAATGCTCTTTTTCTGATCATTGTCGCATCGTATTCTCCATTAACCTGAACAGACCGACACTAAAACCTTATCGAAATCCTCGTAGGACAAACTGGAACAAATTCAGCCGGTTGGTGTCTGGAGCGAGTCCACCGTACACGGTGGAGCCAATTTCAGTGGACCAACTGGAGGGAACGGTCCTCTGTCTAACGAAGTCTCTCAACGAATGCTACATAACAACCTGTCCCGAGAGCAAACCTTCCAAGCGGCACCCAAGGTGGTGGACGGCCGATCTAAGGCGGCTCAGGATAGCAGCTAGGAAAGCTTTCAATAAAGCGAAGTTCACCAAGAACGCGGAGGACTGGGACGAATATCGTCGCAACTTCAATGCGTTCAAGAAAGAGATAAAGAAGGCAAAGAAGGTTTCGTGGTCCAAATTTTGCGAGGATCTCGAAACGACTACTGATGCCGCGCGACTAAGAAGGTGCCTCTCGAAAAACCCGGCTCCTCCTGGTTTTCTGGAAAAGCCAGGAGGAGGGCACACCGAAAGCAGCCTTGAAACACTGGAACACCTTATGGACGTCCACTTCCCTGGTTGCGGTGACGCGGGGGACACAGGAACTCCTGTGACAGAACACCCTAGTACCCACAGGCAAGGCAGTCCAGTGGACGAAATCATCACTGCAGACAAAGTAGCTTGGGCTATCAGATCCTTCCAACCCTACAAATCTCCGGGACCGGATGGGATCTTTCCAGCCATGCTACAACGAACAAGCGCCACGGTAACCCCCTGGTTAACGACAATCTATAGGGCGAGTCTCCTCCTAGGCTATATCCCAAAGCCATGGAGGGTAAGAGTGGTCTTCATTCCCAAAGCAGGAAAAGCGGGCCACAGCACTGCAAAAGATTTTAGGCCCATCAGCCTCTCATCATTTCTTCCCAAAATAATGGAGAGGCTTCTGAGTCTGCAGATCACGCAACGCCTTACTCCTGGGAACTTCAGCGAGGCTCAGCATGCCTACCGTAAAGGTAGGTCGGTTGAAACAGCCCTGCACGAGGTTGTTGGGAGTATAGAGCAAGCAATGAATCACAAGGAATATGCGCTGGCAGCCTTCCTGGACGTGGAGGGCGCCTTTAACAATGTTAACTTGGCATCCATACACTGCTCCATGGTGGCTGTAGGACTGGACCCATTGATCACTCTCTGGATCGACAATATGTTGAGCACCAGAAATATCAATGGCTCCTTGGGAACATCAGAAGTAAGGAAAACAGCCACACGGGGCACACCTCAAGGGGGGGTGCTATCCTCCCTACTGTGGAACCTCGTGCTAAACGAATTCCTGCTTCGCACATCAAAAGCCGCTAAGGTCGTTGCTTATGAGGATGACTTAGTCATTCTGGTCGTGGGAAAATTCCTCTCCACGGTCAGCGAGATTCTACAATCTGCAATTAGCGATCTGTCAGGGTGGGCAGAACGAAACGGCCTAGGGGTCAATCCCACTAAAACCGAACTTGCTCTCTTCACCAAGCGATATAAAATAGACAATTTCCGACTTCCGTCCCTCAATGGAGTAAATCTCGAATTGTCAAAAGAAGCAAAGTTTTTGGGGGTTATTCTCGACTCTAAGCTTTCCTGGAAAAGGAACACCGAAGAGCGGAGAAAGAAGGCGCTCATTGCGCTCTACTCCTGCAAAGCTACTATTGGAAAAGACTGGGGTCTGCGACCGCAGATAATACATTGGATTTATACGGCGGTAGTCAGACCTATCCTCACCTATGGCGCGTTGGTATGGTGGCAGGCGGTTGACACCAAACCCCATCTACTCAACTTGCAAAAGGTGCAACGACAAGCATGCTTATACACAACGGGGGCGATTTATTCAACGCCCCAGGCATCTTTAGAGACCCTGCTGGATATTCCACCTATAGACCTATATGTTAAAAGTATCGCAGCTAGAAGCGCTCTACGACTCAGAGCGTCTAACAGGCTGCGAACAACTTGCAAAGGTCACGCCACAATCCTCGGGAGAGTGG